ACGAAAAACTACCCCGTCCTGAGCCATTCGCATGCATATGAGGAGACAGAAAACATCAGGGCTTCGGTTAGGTGCACCTTAGTCTTCAAAGAGACATCTTTGCTCCTCAACTCTTTAAAGAGGTCTTTTGCCTAGTGCAATATGGCATCTGATTTCTTGACTGTTGCTTCCATGAGTACTGATTGTGGATCCAAGTAAAATGAAGTATTTGACAATTTCAATCTTTTCTCCATTTATCATGATGTTTCTTACTGGTCTAGTTGTGAGGATTTTTGTTTTCTTTACCAAACCAAAAACCAAACTCACTGCCATGGAGTCGGATCTTACTCATAGCGACCCTTCCTTGGGTTTCCGACATGGTATCAGTACAGAAGTAGATTGCCCAATCTTCCTTCCGAGGAGTGGCTGGTGGGTTTGAACCGCCAGCCTTCTGGTTAGCAGTTAAATACCTTAGGCACTATGCCACCACAGCTCCCAGTTTTCTCTATGTTGGCAGGTAATTCATACTGAAGACTGTAGTCTTTGATTTTCATCAGTAATTGCTTCAAGTAATCTTCACTTTCATCAAGCACAGTGTGCTATCTGCATATTGCAACTGGAAATGAATCTTCTTTCAATCCTGATGCCACATTCCTCTTCATATAGTCCACCTTCATGGATTATTTGTTTAGCACACAGATTGAAGACATTTGCTGAAAGAATTCAACCCTGATGCACACCCTTCCTGATTTTAAACCATTCAGTCTTCCCTTGTTCTGTTCAAATGAGAGCTTCTTGGTCTGTGTACAGGCTCCTCATGAGCACAATTAAGTGCTCTAGAATTTGCATTGTTCACAATGTTATCCATACTTTGTTACGATCCACACAGTCAAACGCTTTTGCACACTCAATAAAACACAAGCAAACATCTTTCTGGTATTCTCTGCTTCCATCTAAGATCCATCTGACATCAGCAATGTCCTTTTCTGCATCCAGCTACATTTCTCGAAGCTCCCTGTGAATACACTGCTGCAAACATTTTTGAATTATCTTCAGCAAAACTTTGATTGCATGCAATCTTAATGATATTGTTCAATAATTTCTACATCCTTTGGATCATGTTTCTTTGGAATAAGCACAAATATGGACCTCTTCCAGTCAGTTGGCCAGGTAACTGTCTTCCGTATTTCCTGGCTTAGACAAGTTAAGCACCTCCCAGAGCTGTATCTGTTTGTTCAAACATCTCAATGTATATTCCGTCAACTCCTGGAGCTTTGCTTTTCACCAATTCTTTTAGTGCAGCTTGCTTCTTCCTTTGGTACCATTGATTCTTGATCATATGCCAACTCCTGAAATGGCTGAACATCAACCAATTCTTTTTGGTACAGTGACTCTTGTGTGTTCCTTCCCTCTTCTTTTGATGCTTCCCACAA